TTTGCAATTGATGGTGAGCAATAGATATGAAGGAGCGACCTGAGTCCAAGTAAAAGGTTGGATATCAGAAGTACCAGGACCGTGAGTACGGTATTTCATAAACATTTTATTTTGTGCAAATTAAAAGGAATAATAGATATTCCTAATAAGTTTTTTTGTGAAAAAAATAGACAATTATAAAAATAGAGATTGTTAGAATTTTAGTACTTTTGATAATTGGACCAAGTGGAAGGTTAATCAAATTTTAATTTTGAATTTTTGTAATTTTGACCAAAGTTGTATTTTGAGTAGGTGTAGTAGGGTAGGATTAGTTAATTTTTTTGAAAATATTAGAATATCTAAAATTTGTTAAATTTGTTCCATAATGGTTTCTTTAAATTAAACAAGTTGATATTTAGAAAAGTTTGTTTATTTAAACATATAATTTTACAAGAGACAGGTACATTATATTTCTTCATCTGGGATCATTTATTGTGCATAATTCCAAATAAAATCTATAAAATAAATTTAAAATAAATTTAAAATAAAATTAAAATTAAAATAAAATTAAAATTAAAATAAAATTAAAATAAAATTAAAATAAAGTTAAAATAAAATTAAAATAAAATTAAAATAAAATTAAAATAAAATTAAAATAAAATTAAAATAAAATTAAAATAAAATTAAAATAAAATTAAAATAAAATTAAAATAAAATTAAAATAAAATTAAAATAAAATTAAAATAAAATTAAAATAAAATTAAAATAAAATTAAAATAAAATTAAAATAAAATTAAAATAAAATTAAAATAAAATTAAAATAAAATTAAAATAAAATTAAAATAAAATTAAAATAAAATTAAAATAAAATTAAAATAAAATTAAAATAAAATTAAAATAAAATTAAAATAAAATTAAAATAAAATTAAAATAAAATTAAAATAAAATTAAAATAAAATTAAAATAAAATTAAAATAAAATTAAAATAAAATTAAAATAAAATTAAAATAAAATTAAAATAAAATTAAAATAAAATTAAAATAAAATTAAAATAAAATTAAAATAAAATTAAAATAAAATTAAAATAAAATTAAAATAAAATTAAAATAAAATTAAAATAAAATTAAAATAAAATTAAAATAAAATTAAAATAAAATTAAAATAAAATTAAAATAAAATTAAAATAAAATTAAAATAAAATTAAAATAAAATTAAAATAAAATTAAAATAAAATTAAAATAAAATTAAAATAAAATTAAAATAAAATTAAAATAAAATTAAAATAAAATTAAAATAAAATTAAAATAAAATTAAAATAAAATTAAAATAAAATTAAAATAAAATTAAAATAAAATTAAAATAAAATTAAAATAAAATTAAAATAAAATTAAAATAAAATTAAAATAAAATTAAAATAAAATTAAAATAAAATTAAAATAAAATTAAAATAAAATTAAAATAAAATTAAAATAAAATTAAAATAAAATTAAAATAAAATTAAAATAAAATTAAAATAAAATTAAAATAAAATTAAAATAAAATTAAAATAAAATTAAAATAAAATTAAAATAAAATTAAAATAAAATTAAAATAAAATTAAAATAAAATTAAAATAAAATTAAAATAAAATTAAAATAAAATTAAAATAAAATTAAAATAAAATTAAAATAAAATTAAAATAAAATTAAAATAAAATTAAAATAAAATTAAAAATAAAATTAAAATAAAATTAAAATAAAATTAAAATAAAATTAAAATAAAATTAAAATAAAATTAAAATAAAATTAAAATAAAATTAAAATAAAATTAAAATAAAATTAAAATAAAATTAAAATAAAATTAAAATAAAATTAAAATAAAATTAAAATAAAATTAAAATAAAATTAAAATAAAATTAAAATAAAATTAAAATAAAATTAAAATAAAATTAAAATAAAATTAAAATAAAATTAAAATAAAATTAAAATAAAATTAAAATAAAATTAAAATAAAATTAAAATAAAATTAAAATAAAATTAAAATAAAATTAAAATAAAATTGAAATAAAATTGAAATAAAATTGAAATAAAATTAAAATAAATTTAAAATGAATTTAAAATAAATTTAAAATAAAGTTAGAAGTGTTTTATTGAAACTACCCCTGGGAAAGAGGAAGAAAGGCGTTCAACGGGCTATTGTAAAGGTTGTGTTAATTGAACAAAACATAACAATATATATATATATATATATATATATATATATATATATATATTATATATCTGTCTTCACTTGTTGAATTTCGTATAAAACTTTTAATGCGCTTTAAAGCTGAAAAACTTCGCTTAACTGACGCACTTGTGGCTGGGATGGTTAGTACTAATTCACACAACTTGACAACTTCACAAAGAGACTTATTTAAACCAGTTATTATAAGAAAATTTAACACATTGATGGGCGTCTTTTTATCACTAATTTCAGTTGTTTCATAAACAACACTTAACTGGGACTTTATTGCTGGAATATAGAAAAAATTTCCATAATTTAATTTTAGTGAATTAAAAGCTTCCGATGGAAATTTTGATGAATCGCAGTTACTAATATTAAAATTACACAATTCAACAAATTATAATTCGTTAAAATTTTGAAATCGAGAGTTCATTTGTTGTAAAATATTATAAAAAATTTCGGCGTATAATTGACGATAGGAGGTTTCTCTGTCGCCGACATTATCAATTCTAATTCTCTTTCTTTCAGGTTCTAAGCCAATGTTTTGAGTCTTATTCCAAAAGTGTTCAAACTGATCTCGTTTTTTATTCATTTTATTTTTAAAATTATCAATTTGTTTAATGCAAAAGCCAATGTCATTTGACTTTGTCTGTAAAATGTCGAATAAAATGTCAGTAAAAGGGAAAATCTCTGCAAAAATGTTGAGCAAAAAATTGAAATCAAAGTTTTGTTTGAGCCAATGCAAATACCCTTTAGCAGCAGTAACAGATTCAGCATCCCATGTTATTTTATTATCCCAAACGTCTTGAAAGAAGTTTATCAAAGAACCACGGTATTGAAACACTGTTTGCACTAAACGTCCATTGTGGTTCCATCGCGTCGGAGCAGCTTTTGGAAACCTTCTTTGAACGTGAATGTCCAAAGCGCGAGTTCTTTTCGATGACTTTGAAAAGAAGGGAGCCAAACCACTAAGCGTCGAAAAGAAAACTTTACAATCTTTAATAATATCCATGCTTCGCGATACAACCAAATTAAATCTATGTGCTATACAGTGAACGAAAATTGCATGTTTAAACTTCTTTCACTTTAGCTTAAAGGCCTTCTAAATGGCCAGCCATTACGGCAGCACCATCGTAGCTCTGGGCAACAAGCTTAGAATCACATTCTAAACTTGAAATTTTGTCACAAACAATTTTAAACAATGTATCTGCAGTTCGTTCGCAAGTGACGTCCAAAAATCCTAAGAATCGCTCTTGAGGAATGCCATCTAATATATATCGCACAACAATGGATAATTGACTTAAGTTTGCTACATCTGTGGTTTCATCAAGCGCAATTGATACGAAAGGTGTTTTTTTAATTTCACTTTTAATGTGATCCATCACAACGTCGGAAGTGCATTTAGTTAAATCATTTTGGATTATGTTTGAGGTACCTCGGAAAGTCGTCTTATCAATAAAATGATTTTTTAGGGTATCATCGTATTTTGCTAGAAAACTTAGAAGGTCCATGTAATTTCCTCGATTGGCGGATCCACTTGCTTTATTGTGACCCTTAAAACTTAGTTCATGCTCTCCCAGGAAACAAGTTACATCTATTAATCGTTGTTAGACGTCCTTATTTTTTTTACCTTTTCATTATGAATTTTGTCCAAACTATGTTCAATGCGATAGGTCCCGAATGTTTTTTCTTTAATTGTAGCACTTATATGAGATTTGCTATTTACATGTCGTTTTATACTTTTGTGAAAATTATTCAAGTCTGTAATACCGACTGAGTTCAAATGTGTTTTTTCGGCTATATTAAAAAGTAAGCAAGGCCAGCAAAACAATTTCTTCAAAGTTTTGCAGCCGGTTAACCATTCATACTTTTCATAGAACCCTACGTGAAAATGCCTGGTAAATTTTTTTGCTGACTTTTCTACTGTTGTCTCTAAATTGATAGGAACCTTTACTCTATTAGAATTAATAATGTCCGTTTTCTCTTCAAAATTTTTACTTGAAAATAATTTTTTCAATAAAGAGCACACAATACAGACACAATTTACCACATTATTATTGTTCACATGCACAGTGCATAGTTCCTCCATTTTACAAAAAGAAAAACAACTAGGAAAAACAAACCAAAATCTATCTAAAATCTAAGATTTTTATTACACGTCGATTCGCGGTACGAATTGCAATATGCGTACGGCGACGTAACAATCGCTGCCTCTCGACCATATTTCACGTGCCCAAACAGACTGACTACTGTCGCCGCAAAGCAGGGTCAATAACACTAAGCGAAATCACTCGGCTATTTCAAGACGCGCTTCCGCCGACGGAACGAAGTATATGGTATGTTCGTTTACACAATTAATTTTCTCATAGATGGTGCGCGCGTTTACACATTACACCAATGAATTGTTAGTACATTTACGAAGTTTACGTAATGTTTCAGAGAAAATATAGTACCTAATTTAATATTAATTTCTATGCATTGTAAACTGAAAAATATTTATTTTTAAATTTCAAAGTGTAGGGAACCGGTACTTCCCCCACTTCCATGGACCGCACGCCTCTGTAGTATATCATAAAAAGTTGTACAATACACGACCGTTACGTGATCTCAAACGTGCTCGCACGCTCATATAACGTGTTTGCTAGTGCTCACACATTAACGACCGTGCTCGCATGTAAAGATATAGGTAACGGGCTTATAACGTAAACTACTATTAGCGGGCTAGCACGTTATGATTCCCTTAACGGTATAACATTGCAGTATTTCATAAAAATTACAACAGGTATGTATTAAATAAAAAAAAAAAATAATAAAACCAATGATTTATTTTTTTTTATAAATTTAGACAATACTGAAACTATATACTAAACTATCCATTTTCTTTTATATGCCTCTAAAAGCAAAATATTTATCCGTTCTTTCGCTAAATCTGGTAAATCTTCTAATTTAAGTTTTGATCTATTCATGTCAAACTTATTTCCTTTTTTGTTAAAAACTACAAGTGGGAGCATGAAAGTGCATTTATCAATTGGTCGATACGCATTTTCTCTTAACTCTTCTAAAAATTGGTCGTAAGAAAACTGTGGGCCGTAACAATCGTATTTCTTTAACACTTCGCTAAATACATCGTAATAATATGTTATGAGGTTATCGAATTCTGTTTTAAGCACAAGAGATTGTACACTGCTGAATAGAAAAAAAAGTAAGTCTTCCGCTGGGCTACCAATTCTACACATTTGAAAGTCTACAAGTATGTTACCAACTACTACTCTGTCTTGAATTTTTGGCATTATGTTATTGACCCATAAATCAGTATGTAACAAAGTACAAAAAGGTTCTTTTGGTAGTCGGTTCCTAAAGATTTTCTCTCTTTCTCCCTCCATACGATCAGCAAACTTTTTAAATGCTGTATGTATATGCGATAATTCATTATTAGTTTTAACATACTCCGTTAAAATAGGTAATAAATTGGGTAGTCCTTGTTGAGGCGCTGTATCATCTCCTTTTGGAGGTGCTGTTGGTCGCCCATAATCAACGCACTGTTTTTTTATCTCATTTTTAAATATTTCAGGTTCTAACAATTTTAATGCTAAAGCGGTTGCATGTTGTATTGCGATATCAGTTAGGACAACTTTCGTTGTAGCCAAGTCAAATCCAACATGTCGATCTTGCATTTCGTAGCCTAAAATTAAAAAAAAAAAGTTAAGTAAAGACAGTTGCATTAAAAGCAGCATAATATAGCGTTTATGTACTAAAAATAATTTTTAGTTTGTCAACTGTTGTCAACTAAATTTATAAAACAGTCATCGTAAAGTAGATGTTTGTCATGCTGACTAGGATTCAGTTAAATGTCATGTTTATCGTCAAAAGGTGGATGCATTTAAGTCCAATATGTATATTATTTATTGTTTCGGCCTTTACTTGATGAAAATCCATTTTATCTTGAATGAGTAAAACCAAATTTGGTAGATTTTTACAAAACTTTTATTTTAAAAAATAAAAATAAAAATTAAAAACACTACACATGACATGTTTCGAAGTACAACTTCTTTTTCAAATGTGACTAATTTACAATTCGGTATCCAATATATATGCGAAATAATTGAACAAAACAAAGTACTTTAGAAAACATCAATAACATAACAAAATAAACTAACTATTTAAAGTAAATAAGGGTACTTAGGTAATTATGATATCAATCAAATAACAGCAAGATAGTAACATTACCGGGATTATCTCACAGAAAACTAGGAAAGAGATTTAATAAGAGTGAGTTATTAATATCTAATTGATCATTGAGTATGTTATCTGAATTTTTTAATCTTTTTATTTCAAGTGTTTCTAAATGGTTTAGTTTATTGCCCTTATTTTCTATATGTAAAATTTCAAAGTTTTCTGTAAAAGAATGATTTTCAACTAAAATATGATTTGAGTAAGTAGAATTATTTTTGTTTTTACTTTCCTATCTGTATACAGATATAAGGAAAGTATAGGAATCATGATTTTTTTCGACTTCGAGTTTTCGACGGATTTTTACGTTTTGAGGTCCCCTGAATCCGTTTTGACTATTTTCGCGATGATGTCTGTGTGTGTGTGTGTGTGTGTGTGTGTGTGTGTGTCTGTGTGTGTGTCTGTGTGTGTGTGTGTGTGTGTGTGTGTGTGTGTGTGTGTGTGTGTGTGTGTGTGTGTGTGTCTGTATAACGCATAACTCATGAACCGATACACAGAAAAACACCAAATTTTAAACTTAAGCTTTGTTTCAGCTTCCAATGAGCTGATTAGATTTTGGGCAGAGTCGGAACATCTAGGGGGGTACTTTATGGGTGGTCATTTTTATATTTTATGGAATATATCTGTTATTTACGTTTGGAGAAGAAAATTCTTCGAATAAAAGTTACTTCTAATATAATTATCTATAATTTTTGTTTTATGCAAAATTTTCCGTAAATGGTCCGTATTCGAGAAATTTGAAAAAATTTAAAAAAAATAATTTTTTATAAAAATTGTTCAAATAAAAGTTGTTTGTAATAAAATTCTCTATAATTTTTATTCTATACATAATTTCTCTAAAATGGACCGTATTCGAGATATTTGAGAAAATGTGTAAATTTCGAATTTTGAAGAAAACTCAAAAACGGATACAGAAAAAAACATTAAATTTTAAACTTAAGGTTTATTTCGGCCTGACGTGAAATGATTCGATTTTGGACAAAGTCGGAACATCTGGGGGGGTACTTTATAGGAGGCCGTTTCTATATTTTATGGAATATATCTGTTATTTATGTTTGGAGAAGAAAATTCTTTAAATAAAAGTTACTTCTAATATAATTATCTATAATTTTTGTTCTATACAAAATTTTTCTAAAATGGTCCGTATTCGAGAAATTTGACAAGATGTGCAAAATTCTGATTTTTATGAAAGTTTTTGAAATAAAAGTTGTTTGCGATATCGATCTCTATAATTTTTGTTTATACATGATTTTTCTAAAATGGACCGTAATGAAGAAATTGTAGGAAAATTTCAGTATTTTCGTTTTTAATGAATATCTATAGAAAAATGTTTCGAGGTAGATGTATGTGGACAATGTATATATTTAGTTTATCCTCTAAACATTTATAGAGATGCTGCAATAGGTTGTACAAAATAACCGGAAAAAGCCTATAATAACTAGATAGGAAAGTCATGTGTTGGACACATCAGATTTTTTGTATAGCTATTATAATGTTCGGAATAGCGCTTTTTGAAAGTACGGCTTGTTTGACCAATATACAGTTTTGGACAACTACCACAATTTAATTTATATACCCCCGATTTATTATTAGGATTAATTTTACCTTTATTGTTTTTAATATACTTCCCAAGCGTATTATTGGTTTTAAAAGCTATGTTAATATTTTGGTTTTTTAAATATGATGATACCTTTTCACTAGGAGCTCCTATATATGTAAGACTATTATATCTGCAATTTTGATCTTTAACTATGGAATAAACTTGTTGAATAGCATGTTTAAAAAGTTTTTTTTCTAAAATGTTGTTTACCAACTTTGAATTAAAATTATTCTTTACTGCGATTTGATTAATCATATTTAATTCTTTTGTGAAGTTCTCTTTGGTAAGGGGGATATTAACTAATCTATGGATCATACTGTTGTATGCTAACAGCTTTTGTTTGTATGGATGAGATGAACTATTATTTATTGTAATATCAGTATGTGATGGCTTATGAAATATCCCAAAACTATGGCCTTTATTAATTTTAATAATATTTAAGTCTAAAAAATTAATTGAATTATCCTTCTTTGTTTTCATAGTAAATTTAATATTAGGGTGTATAGTATTGATAAAAACTAATAAAGAATTTAGCTGTCTACTAGTACCAGTAAAAGCAGTCAGTATATCGTCAACATATCTATGCCAATAAAGACAATGTTTACTTAAATTATTGCTATGAATTTTATGTTCTATATTATTCTATATTATAAAATAAAAAATATTTTGAGTAAGATATATGTAAAACATGTGTATAAATTTAGTTTATCCTTTAAATATTATAGAGGTGATACAACAGGTTGTACAAAATAAGCAGAAAAAGCCGGTAATTACTAGATAGGAAAGTCATGTGTTGGATAAATCAGATTTGTATAGTAAGAAATAAGAATGCTACTTCAATTACAAACACCAACAAATGATAAAGCGACATTTACGTTTATTTAGAAAAAAAAAAAACAATAGCAAGTTATTTTCCTACAAAAGAGTATTGAGATTATTTTGCCCAATTTGCAGTCTTTGTTAAAAGTTAATAGTATAAAACACCTAACTAAAAATGTAAAGATAAGAGTACGATTAACAGAATCCTTCTGGGACGGAGAGGAAGGCGATGAGATCATCTCACTTATTTTTAACCTAACGATTAACAGAAATAACGTTAAAATCGAATAGAATTAATAGAGGTGATAAACCGTAACTATTTAATAAAAATATTTTAATAATAAAATAAATGTTTTATTTTAAAATAAATTTTTGATCAGTATTTCTTAGAACGTAACTCGTAATTTATTTAAGTGATTATAATTCAATCTTGGCGACATTTTAGAAATTAAGTTCTAGTGTAATTATAAATTACCGATAAGAATGTGTGTGTACTGACGCGAGTACACGCATTTTTTCTTAGCAATTTTAATTTTTCTTTTTCTTTGTTTTCACTTTGGGGATATGATGGTGTAGTTTTATACAAGCATAGAAATGATAAGAAAGAAAAAACACATAAAAAACAGGTAATAAGCAAAATATATGATACAATTTTAAGCCCGAGTTTGTTTACTTTAATTTATGGTTTAAATCAATAAAAAATTGTTTAATACAGGTATTTTGATCATAATAATTTTATTTTATCTAATTCAATTTGAAAGTTTATATCGAAGGAATAAAGGCTAGTATTGAAGAAGTAAGAGTTTCTTAATGCACTTACTACCTAGTAATAATTTTATTTCTGTTAGTATTTTGCATCCCAAATCTGCACAAACTAATCGACAACACAGATCTACTCCCATTCACTCCATACATGACCAAATAAATTATTTTCTTAAAACTAACAACTAACAAGCTATTACAAGAAAACCGCTCGACAAGTGGTTGAAAATATTTATTCATGATTTTCTAAATAATATGCCTAATATCTATGAAGTTATACAACTAACAATATAAACGTAATATTGGTTGCATAGATATACAATATTTAAAATTCTCTTTGATAAACAATTGAAATATAGATAACTTACGGGCGCCGTTTAATATAGGCTTTGTTTGAAGCCAGTATCTATGAAATTTTGACAGTTTTGTTCTCCAGGAGCGTATCAAATAGTTTCTTTTATCAGAATACAAAGGATTATTTTGTAGATATGATGTCAAGGGTAAATTTAAAGAAATATGCATCTAAAACAAAGGTTAAAGTGACGAGGCCTTCAAATATTTTCCTGATGGCATTAATTTTCTATAAAAACGTCCCCAACTCTAGCAATATTTTCAGTGATTTGTTATCGATTCAGCTAAATGTTTCTTTTATCACAAATAACAATTTTATAGATGAGAAATACATTTTTCATAAAATTTTAATACCATTTATAGAAATAAAATAGATATTTGTGTACCAAAGGCTATAAATATACCAAGAGTTGATCTTTTACGGCTGAGTCAGAAATTTACGGCAGAGGCCAAGTAATTTCTGGTGAGTAATATTACAATAGATAGACACATAATTTATTTCATGAAAGCAATTTTACAATTGTTTTACAATTTTTTATAATGTCCGGAAGTTTATTGTATAAAATGGGTCCTATATATTTAGGAGATCTTTAAGTTAAATGTAATCTACTAACTGGCATATGACTTGTTCCGAATTTGAGAAATATTTTGCTTAAATTTATTTAAGTTCTTAAAATCATTTAAACCAATTTCTAGAACATATAATGAAGCTGTTACAAATATTGGTCGACAAGACTCATATTTAGGAAATTTACATATTATTCTAAAAATCTTCCTTTGAAAAACAAAAACATCTCTCGAATCAGTTGAGTTTTCACATAGACTAATCTCGTATCTCAATCGGCATACTACTTAAGCATAATAAATACAGATTAAAGTTTCATGATCTAAAACTTCTTCTACATTTCTAAACAAGCAGT